CGTGTTCATACATGTATGCGTGCGCGTATGTCTGCGTGTGTGCACGCGTGCACGCATGTGTACGCGTGCGCGTGTACACACGTGTGTACGTGAGCACACGTCTCTATGCGTGTGCATGTGTATGCGTGCGCGTATGTGCACGTGTGTGCACGAGTGTACACGTGTGTGTACGTGCGTGTGCTCATTTCCCTGTGTGAAGAAAGTGTGCTTCTGCTGCTACAGCTATTTAAAAGCAAACTGAACTGCAAAAGTGGTCTCATTTTCTTGTCACTGCGATTAAAATATAAACCCAGAGCTCCTAATGGCCTTTGAAGCACCTTCATGGTCTGACCCTGGTTAACTTTATTTCTAATCCGACCCCGCAGCGGTGCTGGGAGAGGCGGGGGTGGGGGGAGGGGAATCCGTGGCTGCAACCAGACTCCTTCAGCCAAACCACCCAGAGGGACAGAACCGAGGCTGACAGTGAACCGGAAGAGAAGATGGCCGTATTTTCTCAAGGAAAGTTAGGAAAATATTGACACTTAACCCGCAGACGGGCTAATTTAATTACGCTGCCCCTGCACGCGCTCCGCCGGCTGGTTCTTCCAGAAGCACAGGCTTCTTCGTTCTGGAGGCCCTGCTGGAGGTTTAATCTCAAACTGCCAATGGACTTTTGAGTTTTAAGTCTCAGAACAAATGGAGTTGAACGTCTGGGTCACACGCTTGTATTCTCTCCTCAGAAACCAGGAAAGCGGTGCTTCCCTGTGGGAGCCCAAGGCAGCTTGGGTGGTTGTCTTTCCTTCTGGTTTAATCTTTTTCAAATAATGTCTCAGATGCAACGATTGGGATCCCTGCTCCTCCTGGGCGGAGGTCAGGGGGTCTGTATATGAAACTGGCGTCTTCCAAGAAGTGCTGCCCAGATGGAGTTGAGATTATATACGTGAGATTGTATGAAGCCCAGCGGATGGATGTGGTGAATCCAGTGAAGACAGCTGCCTGCTTGACAGCTTCAGGGACCAAAGCACGGGCGTGTGTGAGGAGGTCAGGATATGGTTGTGAGCGATGTCTGCGCGTGCACGCGTGCGCATGGGTGTGCGTGAGCAGACATTCTTCAGGGTTAGACGGAACACTTTCATTCAGGAGAGATGTGTGTGAGTTTTCTCTAAGAAGGGGAAGAAGCAGCAGCCCCAAGGAGGAGGCGTGGGGGCCAGGACGACGAGCGGACCTCCTCCTGTTCGGGGCCAGAGCTCTCCGTTCCTTACCACCCAGTCCTCATGATGTTTCAAGTAGAATTTCCATGATCTGATTGTCAGAGCTCGTGAGCTTTGCCTGACTCCTGGGAGCCGGGAGGTGACTACCACCTGTTTATCTGTAGACAGCACCTGGCTTGCAGGGTGGAGGGAGCTTGCACCTTCCAGAAGCCCCACGCAGGCTCCAGGGGTAGCACTGGGCCTGCCCGTCCCTCCGTGGCTTAAGCCTGGGAATCTCCCCTCCCCCTGGTTCCCACGCCCTGCGGCTCCTGAGCCGGCCCCGGCATGCCCTGCGGCCTTGGAACACGAGAGGCCCCAGCCTCCTGCCCTGCACCGTGGCCCCCATGCCAGTGGCCACTCTGGAGCACTGCCTTGGGCAGCTCTGCAGCTGGGGCTCGGACCAGCCAGGGTGCGTGTCCCGAGGCCCTGCCGCAGGCCCACTGGGCCCCCTGCCAGCTGCATTGCCACCCCCCTGCCCTGGCCGGCATACCGCCCCAATTGCCTGGCAGCCCCCAGCCCTGCCCGGGCCCCTCTGTGGCCCCCTCCTCTGCAGGGCAGGGGTTGGGTCCAGGCTCAGGCCCCCAGGAGCCCCAAGCATCTTTCCAGCCAGACTTTCCCCTGCTTCCCACCTGCCCCCTTTCACCACCTGCCTCGTTGAGTATTTGGGTATTTGCCGCTTTCCAGAAACACTTGCCTTTCCTCCCACTGTGCCTTTTCGATGGCATGTCTGTCCTCAGCCTGGCCAGCTCCGTGTCTCCGACTCCCCAAGCCTCTCACCGGGCGCCCCCAGCTCTGCGCAGCGAGCCTCCTCCGGGCTCTGGTTGTAGCCCCACAATCCCCGCACTCGGTGAGCTCCGGGGACAGGGACGGGCCTCCGGCCCCGTAGCCCAGCCCCCAGCATAGCTGGATCCCATCAGAAGGAAGGAAAGAGCAAACAATGTTTACATGAACCAAATTCCAGCATTAAGGCCCAAAGCGACGCAGAGCCCAGGCTTGTATGAAGGATGGGATCGTCCCGTTCAAACAGGTACCGGCAGTAATGGAGGAAGGGGGGAAATGGTGGCCTCTGGAAGCACGGATGCTGGTGCCAAGCCCCCAGCCTGTTACCCTTGGGTCCTGAGCACCCACCCCTCCCCCTGCCTCAGGCTGCCCATAGGCAGGCTGTCCCCGGCGTCCCCGGCACCCCCGGCCGGTTGTGTCCCATGAGGGGCTACTGAGGATGATGTTAACACGATCTGGGGGACAAAAATTACAGGTGTTCCTTTGAGTGAAATGGTAATTTGGGTTTTTACAGCCAGAAATCATTCATTTCAGCAAATCACAGAGAAGCGGCGGGCCCACAGCTTGCGGGTACAGACCTGCTGATTTAGGGAGTGCGCTGGAGGCGGCCTGACAGCCGGTCAGCTCCGTGGATTGTGGAGAGGAGGCCGGAGCGAGGCTCTGCTTCGGTCAACACCACGTCAGCACCCAGCGAGGCTCTGAGGCTGCTCTAAGCGAAGTCGACTTCAGTTGCGATACTCACACTAGTGCCTTGTAGATTTTATAGCAGCAGTTTCATTAATATTAAAGCACCTCTTTTCTATTTCTTGAGCATGAAAATGAACCAATTTGCAGAGGTTTGGACCAGGCCCCGGGATCTCTTCAAGCCCGCTGGTCAGCCCACAGAAAGACGCACGGCTCCCCGGGCGGGCGTTCTTTGGAAACCAGGGCAGAGCTGCAGCGGGTGCTGGCTTTCCAGGCCTTCGGTGCGTTTTCACCAGCGCAAGAGTTGCTGATTTGCATTTAGCTTAGAGAACTGAAGTGTGTCTGATAGACCCCCTGTGTTAGAAGGCAGTAAACAACTTGAAACAGGTTACAAACCAGCTTCAGAGGTCTTCACATTTGCAGTATGGAGGCCACCTCTAGCGTCAGGTGGTATTACTCGAATAAATGTTTATACGAATAGACTGTAGACTGAGACCCTGATGATGGCCTCAGTGTAGGGGTGTGGGTGGAGCTCGAGCTCATTTATGTATGCTGTGCCGTCTGCTTACAAATGCAGAGCTCATCAAAGATGCACAGCCCACTTGTTACATATGCAAATCTTATCACATATGCACAACTCACTTGTTACATATGCACATGTCATTACATATGCAGAGCTCATTACATAACACAGCCCACTCATCACACATGCAAACCTCATCGCATATGCAAAACTCACTCATTATAGATGCAAACCTTATCGCATATGCAAAACTCACTCATTACATATGCTAACCTTATCACATAGGTGCAACTCATTATATATGCAAATCTTATCACATATGCACAATTCACTTTCTATATGCATAGCTCATTACACACATACACAGAGCTCATTACATATGTACAGATCATTACATATGCAGAGCTCCCAGGCAAAGCTGGGCTCCGGGTGGGGACGCGGCTGTGGGGGGCATTAAGCAGGAAGGAGCTATTTGTAGGCGCTCACCTCAGTATTATTACCCTGTGGGGGGCATTCTTGGCCCACAGCACCTTCTGCTTGCTCCCCTCTCTAGAGAGACCTGATTCTTGGACCCTGCCGTTTCCAGAAACATTAGTGTGGGAGAGACACAGTAACGACCTGATAAGCGCATGTTAAATGGAACTGACTCTAAAACAAAATCAAATCAGCCTCATCCCTGGACTAGGATGAATTTCCAAGAATGATCAAGGAATTGGGGGCCACAGCCAGTTAGAAGGAAGGGATCCTCACGGCCACCGTAGAGGGCTGGAGGGCCAGCCTCGCCTTGGGCCTCTGCAGGGGCAGTGCCCATGTCAGTGGTCAGTAGGCCGAGGGGTCGGCGGGGCTGGAACCGAAGGCAGTCGTCCTGCACGTTCTGAACAGATGCAACATTGGTTCATTGCAAAACTTTTCTTAGAAAAAAACAAATACGGCTTAAAAAAAAGGATGGTTTCAGTATCAAGCACTGCCTTTTGTGATCCTTGCCTTGGGCCTTGGACGTCTCTCTTACTGCTTCTTATATTTACCGTGACTGGTGGTGGGAGAGAGAAGGTTCTTGGCCAGGGTGTCCAGCGCAGGCCCTAGGACACAGTGGCTTTCAGTGGTCATCGAACACTTGGCGCATGGAAGGGCTAAGTGCATGTGCGTTTGCTTTATCTTTCTTTGGGCTCAAAGGAGTTGGCCGTTTCTTTGGAAGGAAAGCCATCGGCAGAGCAGACAGAGGGCCGGAGGGGGAAGGTCCATAATTCGCGGGGTGACCTTGTTTCCGACATAAGAGTGTTGGTCCCGAGGACTGAGGCATGAATGTGAATGGAATCAGGTGATTTAAATGACTGACTTTCGGATGACCGCTTCCTGATGTGGAGGTTTGAGTTTTTAAAGACAATATATTATTGACGCACAGACCTGATAAAGCGAAGCAGAGTTTGTGGTGACAAGATCAGTAACAGTTGCCCCAGAAGAGACGTCCGGCTCCGGCGTAAACAGCGACGCGTTTGCGGAAGGCACGCAGGCAGGCGAGCTCCAGCGCAGTTGAAGTGCTGGGCAGCTGCCACCCGGATGGAGGGCAAGGGCTGGATATTTGGCGGCAGAAACGAGGTAAAGAGGCAGCAATGCGAATTGCTTTTACCCACTGGTGACTCCAAGAATGACGTCAGCTGACAGCGTGTCTGGAGTCTGGCTGGGGGGACAACAGTCTCGCGGGAGTGGACGGAAGCTCCATTTCCAGCTCCGCTGGTCGTGGGCAAACCTACTTACGGTTAGGATATCCTGGCAGTCACACAGTTAACAACACTGTTGATGCAAATGGGTAATAGCTTCCCGAGTGCTTATGGGCGGTGTTGTAAGGGCTTTCCACATGTTAATTACCTTAACCCTCCCCCCAGCCCACGGGGCCTGGATAGTGGCACTGCTGTTAATAGATTAAAAAACAGGTGCAGCGAGGTTAAGTAGCTGGTCTAAGGTCACACAGCCCGTGAAAGGCAGAGCTGAGAGAGGAAACGAGGTCCCCGTCATGGCAGCCCGCTGACCAAGGGCTCTACCTTCGCCGTGCTGCCACCACCTGAAGGGTCTCAGCAGGTAAGAGGGGGTGTGTACAAAGTCAAAATATTGTGTGGATGATATTAACATAATTTAGACTAGAATCATGGGTGAGAATCCTTACCTGAGGCTTTACCACTTGACTGTCAGCCCTTCCTCCTCCAGAAGGGATGGTAAACCCCGTCCCCCGCCCACCCCGGTGGTGGGAAGGCGGTCCAAGGACCCCGAGAAGGCTGATTTGGAAAACGGGCTCCTCCAGTGGCCATGCACGTGGCCCGACGAGGCTCTGGTTACCCGCTTCCGTTTCTTCCTGTTGGAGCGCATCCTTGAGCGGTCCTCTTGGTGAGGGCCTGTGGGCAGCCCATTGGTCTGGGTCCTCCCCTCCGTCCCAGTGGGATGAGACCCCCAGGGCGTGTGGGAAGCTCTGTCGGGAGGAGGCGGCGGCCGCGCGGTTCCCCCACGGGTGTGGCCTTTCTTCTTCCGCCGCCGTCCCCATCCTGGGCCTTTACCCACTCGGGCACCCCAGCTGGGGGTCCTTCCCCCACAACAGGCAGCCCCGCGTCTTTGCTGGAGGGCTGCCCTCGGCCACTGGAGCCGCTCTGCGCGGGAGCCTGGACGGTCAGAGGCCTGGGAGGGTCCCGGACCCCTAGAGCGCTGTGTGAGCTGCTGCCGCTTCACTCCTGCTCTGCTAGCGCTTTTATTGTTCCGCAAATCGTCTCACTTCCTGCTGGTATTTTTAAGCTTCCTTTGAATTTTAAAAACATAGAAAAACTGTGAAAAGTGTTATAGGCTCCAGTGTTTCTAACATCTCACGTCGCACTGACTCTATTTTTGCATTTTCTCTCACTCGTACGAGCTTTGTTCCTTGTGTGCCTTGTCTGAGGGAATCGTCTTCCCGCGGGCTGGGGGCTCTCTGCGGCCGCTGAAGAGCATCCTCCTTTCCCCTCCCTCTCTCTCTTGCTTATTTATTCATTGATTTATTTATCTGTGAGCTTGGTCAGTTCCTTGGAGGGTCTATATGTGCAGCTGCTTTAAGTTATCGGCTGCCCCTAGGTTTCCAGGGCCACTGGGGCGGATGTATTTGGACTACAGACCTTCGGGAGGGCCCATTTGCTGTTCGGCCTTCAAGGGGAGACTGCTTTACCCGCTCTGTAATACCGGGGTTCAGACCAGCAGGTGTTCTTCCTGCCCCTCTCAGTGTGGGTTTCTTCCTTTTCACTCCTGTGCTGCCGGCCTCACCCATGGAGGCCCAGGTCTGTCCCCGGGTCTCTGTGGCTTTGGTTTGGGGGGCAGACGCTTGGCACCACCTTCCTGTGGTGTCGGCACGAAAGGGGAGCAGGTCTCCCAGGCGAGTCGTTGGCCCTCAGGCCTGGCGGAGGTTGTGGCAGACGGCCTCGTGTGTCGACCCCCGACCCCCAGTCTGCTCTGACCCCGTCCTCATGTGCAGCCCATACGCACCCAGGGCCTGGCCAGCGCCCTCCCCGCTGACCTGCAGACCCCACCACAGCCGGTCAGCGAACATCTCTCCCAGGATTCCCATCCTGCCGGCTAACTCTGCCCATCTGGGTGTCAAGCGGCTCGAGCCGTGTCCGCCCATCTTCTCTTGCCCTCTGGGGAGGGTGCTCAAATCTCTGATAGAAGTTAAGTGCAGTGACTCAGCAGAGCCGTCCTCCTGAGGGGTTGCTGCCCAGCTGGGTGGCTGTCCTGGCCTAGGACCCAGCCTGGGACGGGTGTGTGTGTGCGTGTGTGTGTGTGTGTGTGTGTGTGTGTGTGAAAACCCTTGCCCAGCTGTGGCTCTCTGAAAGGAATAAGGCGCCTTCAGGAGGCTGTTTTTACATCCAGAGGGGCTGAACCCCCAGCAGCAGTCTGGCCGCGAGAACGTTTTAACTGCGCTGGTCTGTGGGGAGGCTTCCCTTGACTCTATTCTTCAGCCCCAAACACACCGCCATCCCTGATGGGACCTTCAGCCCTTCTGGGGGTCCGCCCACTGTCCTGGCAGCACTGGGGCTGGAGAGCGAAGCCCACAGAGCGGGACGTGGCCCCGGCTCGTGCCTGTGTGACCGCAGCACATGCGGGAGGAGGGCCGAGCACACACCTGAATCCAATCACACTCTGGACACACGGGGAACTCTGTGCCTCAGTTTCCTTCGCTGTGAAACGTCCACCAAACTACCTCCTGGGGGAGTGGGGAGTGATACCCACGGAGCCTGTCTTTATCCCAGGGCGTCGCTCGATAAACATTCACTCCCCACCTTCCCTCCCGGCCCAGGAGCCCCGGGCTGGGGTGGGGGTGCCCCCTGCTCCCCGCACGTCAGCTCCAGGACTGCTTTCCCTCTTTGTTTTCCTCTTCCCTCTCCCCGCTGTCAGGTCCAAGTTCAGAAGTCAAGAGCGTGGGCTTTGGGGTCAAAAGGGCAGCTGCAGGGATGGCCAGCTGTGCACCCACGGAGTGCTGTGCGCAGCCCGGGGGCACAGCCATCCCCATATTCCTGCTGTTCCGTCTTCTTCACCCCTTCCTCACCTGTTCTTGGGGAAGGGGCTTTAACTTCCACCATCTCTGCTGGGCCAGCGCCCTCCCCAGTGGAGGTTTCCCGGGACGAGGGTCTTTCCGTGTGAACGCCAGGACTGTCCCAGGGGATCCGGCACCAGCTGGCCTCCCTGTCTCTGCCCTGCAGCAGCTCTGGCGAAGGGAGGGCTGAGGGGATCCATGTGGGAGCAAGGCCCGGAGGAGCCCCCTGTGGCTTCAGGGCGAGCAAAGCCCCCCAAAGCCCAGCCACATGGCTACCTGTCCTCCAGGGCCCTTCAGACGGCACCTGGAGTGACCTGAGAGCACGGGTCCTGGTGTCCCCACTGCCAGAGGCCCCTCCTCTGCCCTGAGGACACGTGAGGACACCTCGGCAGCCCCGTGAGACCTGTGGTCCGGCCCCTGCCTGTGTGGCCACCTGCTGCCTCTGCTCTCAGGGGCTGGATGGCTCGTGGCCCCCTTGCCCTCCTCCTCTACCTTCCCTCCAGGCTGTGACCTGCCCAGGATGCCACCGCTTCTCCTGGGCTTAGCGTCTCATCTCTCAGTCTCACCTTTGTGGTAACCTCTTCCAGGGAGTCTTCTCAGACCTCTGGTCTGGGTTACCAACCCCTCCCTCAAGCGTCCTCAGACCCTGGACTTTGTCAGCTCTCCCTCTGCAGAGTGACCGTCCGAGTGGTCCTGCCCTCCCAGCCGTCCACCCCGGCCGTGGGCACAGAGGCCCTCTCCTGTCTGCCTCTTGACCCTCAGGAAGCATCTGCGCCACCAGCACCTTGTCCGGCTGTGCAAGGTGAGCGATGACCGTCTCCATGCTGCCTGGTTGAGCATCTCCTCTGTCTTGCCATTAGTCGTAAACTTTGCTGCTCAGTGACATTTGTCTGCCCTTTAAGATAAATGGAGATTCCTTCTAAATTCCCATTAACATTTCGTGTGTCGGAACAAGGAAGCCTTTGTCTCTTCTGTCTTCTCTCAGGAGCTGAGAGGAGCTGGGAGACGGCTCCGTGTAGAATGTGGGACCCTCTCCAGGCTCAGCTCGCGGTGGCCTCAGTGCATCTATCAAACACCTGCCGCCATCCTGAGGTTCTCCATTACGGGAATCACAAAATCACCCATGGGCAGCGCACACATTATAACCCTGGAAGTGGTCTTCCTGGAAGTCTCAAGGTGAAGCGTCTGAGATGAGGCTTGATGCACGAAGTACAGATGTTTACTTCAAATGTTAGTGAAAGAGGGAAAGCGCGAGGCATGTTTTCTTTAGGAAAAGCATTCTGGCGGGGCTGCGTGTCTGGCGGGGCTGGTACAAAGCGCCGGTTCTGCAGTAGCTCCCACGTGGCGGGTTGGGTGGACGTAGTGAGCGCAGACCCTGGTGTCCTCCTCTGTCCCAAGGGGATGCAGCAGGAGGCCTCTGGATTCTGAGTCTGAGAGGGGGCACGTGGGAAGGGCACAGACATGACCCCCAGTGAGTGACAGCCCAGAACCCCCCGGGGACGCAGCACGTGTGTTCACTGCTTCTCGATGGCAGTGTTGCCTCTTCCAATGTGACTTTCGTGGTGGGAAGTGGAGAAACCGAGTGATCAACTGCTTTGAAATCAAGGAGCTACTTGAACGACTCGAGACATTGTTAGAAGGAGAAAGACCTCGTAGGTGTTTTGTTTAACGGAAGGGGAGACCAGAGGATGTGGAGAGAACTTCGCACCCTTCACTTTTAGGCAGGGCAGGGCCGCTAGGCCCAGGCTGCGTCCATTCTGTGCCATCTTGTGGCAGGATGCTGAGAGGGTGTGGCGAGCCCAGGGTGACCGCTTCCTCCTGGGAATCACTGCCATCAGGCCACAAGCAGCCACGGGTGGCTGCAACCTCGGGCCACGTGCTGTGGCTGCCCTCTGCTGCTGCAGATGCCTGGCCACAGCCCCGCAGTGGACACGCTTCTGGACAAGGTCTTGGGGCAGCAGCAAACGTCCATCTCAAAGTGAGACCATGAGATGGGCATGGCTGCGTCCGCATCCTCAGCTGCCTGGCTTTATCTGCCCCTTGACCAGAGCCTTCCCATCCTCCCAGCCACAGGTCCACCCATGGCAGCTGCCAGAGAAGGTGAAGGGGGCCCCAACCCGTCAGGGAGCCAGGCTGCAAGCAGGTAGATGCCAGGGTGTGTGATCACATGTGTGTGTATGTGTGTGCGTGGTGTGTGTGTGCGATGCAGATCAGGGAGGAGGGCTCCTACATCTCGAAGTTGCTTCTCCTCCCTGCTTGTGTGCAGCGTGGGCCGCAGGCCTTGCGGTCCTGGGTGGAGGAGAATGGTGCCTCAGGTCCTAGCTCAGGATGGGAAGCAGTTGCCCCGCCCCCTCTCCTTTCCTCCCTCAGGGCATGTCCGTTCCCCTGTGAGCCTGTGAGCTTTGGAGGAACAGGGCCCCATCAGTGATTTGGGAGGGATGCTCCTGCGTCCTAGCTGGGGAGTGGTGGGCATCCCCTTCGGGTGGAGGGCTGTGGTCGAGGCCGCCTGCCCCCGAGAGCAGTTACCCGTGGTGGGGGAACACCAAACACCTTCTCGTTTTAGTCTGTCTTTGGCTTGAGTTTCCATGGAAACCCCTGTTGCAGGAAGCACAGGCCCATGAAAGTTTTCCAACCATCATTATTTTCAAGAACCTTGCTGCCCGCTTCCTTGCTTGCATTCAGATATGTTTCCATGGAAACTGGAATGGAAACTGTCAGTAGGAGAGGAAGTCAGATTTGGCTGTTCCCATGGCGACCACTGGGGCCGAGGAGGGCGGGCAGGAAGGCTGTCCGCTGGGGCCGAGGAGGGTGGGCAGGATGGCTGTCCGCTGGGGCCGAGGAGGGTGGGCAGGATGGCTGTCCGCTGGGGCCGAGGAGGGCGGGCAGGAAGGCCCAGGGGAGTAGGGGGCCCCACCCTTGGGCTGGGCTCCTGGGTAGATGCAGTTTCCACCACACTGGGAGGATGGGGGCTCAGAGGCAAGCCCTTGATCTTTGCTGACTCCTCTGCCTGGAGTCGTGATGGCTTAAGCCTTTGGAAGGGGAGACCAGAAAGAGGAGGAAAAAATTGCTGAGAGTCTTTTATCCCGAAGTGCCTCACTGTGCTCAACAGGTGGGACTATTGAAGGGGTGGCAGGGACCTAAGCCACTCGGCCAAGTCTTGTGCCTGTGCCACCCTGCAGGTGAGAGCAAGGGTCCATGTGTAGGACACCGGAGGAAGGGGTCCTCATGGGCCGCCTGTTCCCAAGGCTCTGGTGGGCCCAGTAGTGGGGCTCCCATGACCTTGTACAGCTCCATGACGGGCAAGGTCCTTATTGTCTGTGCGTGTAGCTCAGTGCCCTCCTGGAGTGGGTTAACGGCGGGCCCCTGCCCTCCACAACACCACCTGGTACCCGAGAATATGACCTTATTTGGATTGTTACAGATGTAATTAAATTAAGGATCTTGAGATGAGATCATCCCGGATTTATAGCTGAAGGGAGAAATAGACAATTCAACAGTAATATGTGGAGACTTGACTACCACACTTTCAATATTGGATATAAAACCAGACAGAAGATAAATAAGAAATAGAAGACACAAGCAATTCTATACATAAACTAGTCCTCCCAGGCGTCTATAAGACATCCCCCCCCCAAAAAAAAACACCAGCAGCACACACATATTCTCAGGTGCACGTGGAACCTTCTCCAGGACAGACCATATGTTAAGGCCACAAAACCAGCCTCACTAAAGTTTGAAAGATTGAAATCGTACAAAGTACCTTCTCTGATCGTAATGGAATAAAACTAGAAATCAGTAAGAGAATGAAATTTTTTTTGAAATTCACAAATACATGCAAATTAAACAAAACACTTTTAAGTAACCCCTGGGTCAAAGAAGAGATCACAAGGAAAATTAGAAAATACTTTGAGATGAATGAAAACAAAACATACAAAAACTTATTAGATACAGCTAAAACAGTGCTTAGAGGTAAATTTATAGCTGTAAACACATATGTCAGAAAAGAAGAAAGATTTCTAATCAATAACCTAACCTTCCACCTTCAGAAAGTAGAATCAGGAGAGCAAATTAGATCCAATGCAAGCAGATTGGAGGAGATAATAATTAGAATGGAAATAAGTAAAATATAGAATAGACAACATCAACAAAACGAAAAATTGGTTGTTTGAAAAGATCAACAAAGTTGACAAACCTTTAGTTAGACTAACAGAAGAAAAAAGAGAAAGAAGACTCAAATTACTGAGATGAGGGATCAAAGAAGGGACATTACTATTAACATTGCAGAAATAAAAGGATTATAAGAGAATAATACGAACACTTGTGTGCCAGTTAATTACATAAATGAGATGAAATGGACAAATTCCTAGAAAGACACAAATTACCAAAATTGACTCAAGAAGAAATAGAAGATAAAAAAAGACCTATAGCCTATAAGAAATATATTGATTGGGTAATTAAAATACTTCCCCAAATGAAAAGCTGGGTTCTCTGGGAAATTCTACAAAATATTTAAAGAAGTATTAGTGCAAATTCTCCACAAAGTCTTTCAAAAATATAGGAGAGGAAACTCGTCACAACTCATTCTGATGCTATTATTACCAAGACACCGTAACTAGACAAGGACATCACAAGAAAAGAAAACTAAAGATCTATATCCCTTATGAATTTAGACACAAGACTCATCCACAAAACAGTAGCAAGTGGAATCTATAAACGTATAAGAAGGATTGCGCTCCACAGCCAAGTGGGATTTATCTCAGAAATGCGAGGCTTGTTTAACATCTGACAATCAGTCAATGTAATACACCATGTTAATAGAATAAAGGACAAAAACCGTGTGATTATCTCAACAGATGCAGAAAAATCATTTGACAAAATCCAATACCCTTTAATAATGAAATTATTCAACAAATTATAAGTGGGACAGAAAGTCTCACCTGATAAAGGCCATTTATGGAAAACCCACAACTAACGTATCCTACCTAATGGTGAAAGAGTCAGTAATTTACCTTTAAAATCAGGAATAAGACAAAAGTGATGCTATTTACAGGAAATGTCCAGAACAGGCAAATCCACAGAGAAAGTAGATTGTCGCCAGGGGCTGGGCTGGGTAAGAAGAGGACGGGGAGTGGCTGATAAGGGTGTGAAGTTTCTTTTTGGGGTGATAAATTGTTCTAAAATTACATAGTTCTGGTGATTGTACAACTCTGTGAATATACTCAACCCCTTTGAATTATACACTTAAAAAAGTGAATTTCGTAGTATATTAATTATATCTCGATGAAGTCGTTCTAAAAGAAACGCAAACAAGCCAAACTCTGATGTGAGAACTGAGGATGGCGGCCATCCTGAAGGGCGTGCGTGGCTGGAAGGGGCCTGGGGGGGTGTGGGTGGTGGCTGGAAGGGGCCTGGGGGGG